TATTTAAATAATGGCCTGAAGAAAAATTGTTTTTCTTTTATATAACAAAAAATACCTGAGAATTATTTTTCTCAAGGCAATAAACTGATAATAATAATTTAAAATAAAATTTATATTATTTTATTTATTAAAAACTTTAATTAAATATTGTGAATATTTATAAAATTATCTGAAATTGTATCTTGAACTAGCTTTAAAAAATAAATGAGTAGTCTAAATACTAAATCAAGTAGAAATTTTACAATCGCCATTTATAAACAAAGCAAAGAAAAAAATTAATCAAAAAATTACCAAATTGATTAGTCATAGCAAATCATTTTTTATATCAATAATTAAAATCATTAAATTATATTTTTATTATTTGAAAAAATATTTATTATTATTTTTAATTCGATGGATAAATATTAATTTAAATACTGAAGTTAATCAATTTAGGTAGTAAGACCGACAAATTAAAATAAAAGATAAGTTCATATGTAAACTGGCATCATAGCAATGATAAGCGTTAAGAAAGTTTTTAATGCTCTATTCCTTTTATTTATACAGTCTTATCATTGCAATCATGGCAGTTTTCTTATGAACTAATAGCTACATTGCAGACCACAAAAAAACGCAACTGAGTGACTATTGGGTAAGATAGGAGCCTTGTACCTTACCTTTTGGTCACTGAGTTACGTTCTCTCGTGCAGTATATTCATTGTATTATACATCTATGGCACTTTAAGTTTGTTCATCTGGTTAATTAAATTTGTTGCACTCACTATCTGATTCGATTAACTTCAGTATTCATTTTCTCAAATATCTGTTCATCAGACTAAAAATAATCAATTAAATTATCGCCAATGTGTTGTGTAATTTTCAATTTATTACCTTAGTATATTATTGATCGGGTACGACTATTTTTATCATTAGAAAATTTTCCGCCGCAATCTGTCTATATTAGAGTGTTGAACCTTACCCATTTTAAACATACTTTTATGTGGAGGGCTCAGAAGCCAATCAGTGCAAGTCACTAAATATAGAAAATGAGATAATTGGGATTTTTCAAAACTTGTTGTAATAAAATAGAGAGTCCCGTAAAGGTACTAATAACTTTTTTTATTGAGATATAACATACTAAAAAACTTAAATCTAACACAGTATAATAAAAATGAAAGCGCAAGTTGAATTACTCAACTCAGTTTTCACAGAGAAGAGACTTACACTGATTGGCTTCTGAGCTGTGTCAATAAACCTGTTTAATTTTTTATTTTTGAAGGAAGTTTTTGAGATGGTTAAGCCCTCTAGTTGCATCTATGATTTGTGAGGATTTTTAAAACGTTAATGAGGCTGAATCATTATTTTTTTTTAATTATTGACGTCCAAAGGTCCTGAGTATGCTATTACAAGGCAAATTTCCTTAAAACTATCTGTCAAATTTTTTATTTTAATATTAAATAGTAAAGTAATTATAGAATTCGTATTTATATATCACAAAACTAATAAAAAACCAACAAATAAATTAATATCATGGAGTACTAAATATTCAATACACATTCTACGAATGATTAAAATTAGTGATGGGAAATATCGAAGAGTAACTATTGAACTATTCGATAGTCATTCAAAAACTATTCGAATAGTTAAAATATTCGATAGTTACACAATATATTCGAATAGTTTTTAAAATATTTGATAGTTTATGCTAAAAATAAAATATTCGGTGGTATAAATACAATTCAAATAAATAATCGATAGTTTAAAATATTTGAAAATGCCCATCACTAATTTTTTTTTTTATTAATTGTATCCTATTTATAATCGTAGTACCCTGAAAAAACAGTTTTAAACAATCCTAGTTAGATCGTTAAAGTAATTAAAACAGCAAAACTATAAATCTGACTATAATTTTACATAAGACCAATATTTTAGAAAATTTTACTTAACATATTTTTTTTTACGAAACATTTTGTTATAAAATTATTATTTTAAAAAGTAAGAATGATTTATATTCAAAAAATTAATTTTAGCAAATTATTTTTTTATTTTATTTTTTAAGCAAGTAAAAATAATTTTAGAAAATTTTTGTAAATACCATTTTAGAAGAAAATATCTATAATATCTATAATTTATATTCTATACATTGTTACGCTAAGTGTGTTAGTTTTAAAAATAATAATCAAAAACAGAAAAATTACCTTTTTGAGCGAATTTTCAACCTCGATTCGGACTTTAAAGGGGTAAGTTATCAAAACCTTGTTGTGTACTACAAATTTTATATAGAACTAATCGAATATTTTTTTGAAACTATTCGATAGTTTATGCTAAAAACACACTATTCCGTTGTATAAAAACAATTCGAATAGTTTAAAATATTCGAAAATGCCCATCACTAATTAAAATATATTCTAATTTCGAAACCTAGTTGACTTATTAAATATTTTTAGTTATTGATAATATCATTTTTATAGTAACCAATATGGTTCATTCGATATTTTTTATAAATTTCACTAAACGATAAATAAATATCGAATCAGTTCAAAAATAGAAATTATTTGTCACTTTAGTTAAAATTTTAACATGCTCTACTAATATATCGTATGCGAGACTACTCATCGTACAACCTCGAAAATTGGCCTTCTCCAGGACATATTTTGGTTTTATAAAAAGTGGTTTTACGGCGTGCGGACGTGTGTAATTCCGTAGCAATAAATCACCCAAAATTTTATACTAATTTTTGTATAGTACTAAAGTCACGAAAAAACTATGGCGCATATAAACACCATGCATTTATGAAATAGAGCGCTGCGTAGTGGTAGAAATTAGCATAACTCATGTGATCAAACTACACGCATATATACAAATGTCTAAAACTAAGAGTTTTTTTTAAATATTTGTTCAGAATAAAAATTACAAATACGAAAGAATTTAATAAAGATTTAATTTTAAAGAGCTTGTCGTATCCATTATTTTATATTTTTCTATTTTGTAAAATATCTCTAAAAGTAACCATATATTCTGATCACATTAGTTACATACATTTTAAAGGAAGAGCTGTTCTCACAAATGCACCAATAGCAAAATTTAAAATAATATTATCTTAAATCATGACCAATAATCATCTGCCAACAATGATGTTTATAAATGACACTGTTGACATTGTTGAATAAATTTACCTTCTATATAAGGTGAATTTATTCATCAGACTCTAGCGATTGTTTTAAATTTGTGTAGACATCCGTACGATTAAAATTAATTTCAATAGTCAATATTCGAGGTTAATTGTTCACATTAGGCACGGAAACATAATAAATTATTTTTAAAGAGAAGAGAATTTCACTATTTCTTTTAGAGTGTGAGTTTTTTTTTTGCTTCGATGCGAAGCTGAGAAGGTATTGGTTTTACTAAGATGTGTTTATTTTTTTTATTTTTTTTTTTTTGTGTCTGTTACCACTTTTTCTCAGCTCTCACCGAACCGATTTCTTTCAATGATACGTCAAAAGATCACAAATCGTATCTAGTCGAAGACATTACCCTCAAAAATTGAAAAAAATTCCCTCGTTCCCCGTAAATGGGGGAAACCTCCGAAAAAATTACAAATTTAAAAATGGCTAATTTTCGTAATTTTTTCAATTTTTTTTACTAAAAATTTTTTTATAAATCTTACCCTTTACCTACCCACAAGAGGGATTCAAAATGATAACTTTTTTAAAAATAAACATATCAATATAATTTTTTTTTTATAGATGCATGATGTCATTACATATCATTTGGTATATTTTTTTTATAAATCTGACTTTTTAACTGCCCACAGGGGGGGATTTAAAATGAAAACTTTTTTACAAAAAATTAATTTTTTCAACTTAACTTTTGAAAGTGTTCCGGAAGGTCTGACACTTTTATATATATCTTAAATTAAAGCTAATGTAATATACTTTATTATGAAAAAAAAAAATTTCGGACTTTGTTTTATCTTTAGGGTGAAAATGGCTACCGAATGCTATTTTTGTGTGAAAATTTTCGATTTTGTATTTTACATTTTTAACTTTATTATGCTATAACTTTTTGAAAAATGTATGGATCAATACAATTTTTTTATAAGAAATAATATTTTTTAATAATCCCTTTTTCATTCGATATACTTTATCTTAATCAGGATATTAATAACGAACTAGCAGATCATGTAGCTTTTGGAATAATCCACCAATTTTTTAAATTAAACACTATCAAAAGATTTGCATCGAAGAGTTTTTTTTTTTTGATAGTGATTTTAATCACTGTCAGATATCATTATAATTGATCCAACTTAGCCACGTCACCACTGTGCCGTGCCGCGACCCCTCTGTGCTGGGTTGTTTTTTTTTTGTTTTGAGAGAGCCTTATTATAGAAGAAAATTGTAATTTTAGAGAGCTCTTGCTTCTAAAACCTCATTAATTAATTAATTTTTTAAAAAGCTAAAAAAAAAGGTACGTCACTTTACTAACATTACTAACTAGTTGCGCTAATTTATTTTACTGTAAAATAATTTTAAAATATTTGAATTTAATGGTAATAATATGTTATGTTCGTCGACGAAGATTTCTGTTAACTGATCAGTTTGATATTATTCAGTATTAATGTATTATGTTTTACCATTATAAATTTTAATGATAAATACATTAATTAAATACGAGACAAAAGTTTAGGTAAAGAAATTAGTTTTTACTAATTCATCATTTTAATGTCTATTTGGGTTCAAAGTAAAATATGGCAAGTTTATTCACGAACAATTCATTTAAGTTATCTGTATTAAATATTGGTTATAAAAATAATTTTTACTCTTTTATACATATTTATGTATCCTTTTTTTTGTAGTATACTTTAATATAGCGAATTTTAAATATTGTTCTGGGGCGGTGGTAATAATGCCAATTTTGTGGTAGGCAATACTTCCACATTTTAGGTGAACAGCTGCACTGGCTTATGCAACAGCATAACAAAATAATCTAAGGAGAGAATTGTTGGAAACTCTTGTTTACATTTCAGTGTATGAATACCTCGTCTGTTCGAACACACCGCTGAGTTGTAACAGCCAACCAATTCAGTCGATCCTCGCACGTTTGTTGTGTTGCACGTGCATTGTCACTCAAGTACACCATCGATTTTCAAAACGTTGTTCATACTCCTATAATATTAAATAGCAAGGGTAAGATTTTTTTATAATTATATTTTATTATTTAAACTATTATTGTCCTATAGATTTATATAATAGTGAATACGAGTTTGGTGCCTACGATTATTTATTAAAATACATTTTGCGCAGATAAAAATAAAACATTGTAGTTTTATAATATGCATTAATCGTATAGAAAATGTTTTACCCTTTTTTAATTTTTGATTCATTTTTATTGTTAAATTATGAAAAAGTTTTTTTTATGAAACATAATATATTAATTGAATAAATAAATTAATAATTAGATATTTAATAAAACTATAACTGTATTTTATTCTTAGTAATATTTGCCATTCAACTGTTGTTTGATAAAAGTTATACTTCAAAATAAATGATAAAATTTTACTTTTTTTTTTATAATAAATAACCTGTGAGGTATTTATACAATATCATGTTCACTTAATTAATAGTGATTTTTTTTTAAATTTCTGGCTATTTGTTAGTTTTTTTTTAACGAAGTCTACCTAAAAAAATTTATTTTCATTATTTTAATCAAGTTTGAGAGCAAACTATTTGAACTTTGGATTTTGCTAGATTGTACCATAACACACTAAATCACTTTTATAACTAATAACTGTTATATAATTTCGTGCAGATTGTGCTACTACTATTTGTTTTTTTTATTATAATCTTATCTTTCTTTTTATAGTAAAGCTAGTACCAAAACATAAACGATTTTATAAGAAGGTAACTAATGAATGATGCTTTAGTATTATTTATAACTGATCAAAGTATAAAATGTAATAATTATGGATTATATAGCTCATAATATGATTTTAAAATTATGTCACTGAACGCTTCTATATTAAAGAGATAAATTTTCAGTAGATATTAACCTTTTTTTTTTTTATTTTGACGGAGAATAGGTGAAACAGAAATTTCCAGTAATAATAATAGGAGTACCCGCGCCTCATTTCCAGTTATTATTATTAATCGTTAATAACTTCTTAAAAAATGATCCAAAAGTTTTTTTCAACTGGTCATTTTCTTCATTAGATCATTTCCTATGTTATAGGCTAGTTTATATATATGTTGCATTGTACATTTAATATCTATTAAATAATTTCATTAAATTTAAAATTTTATAATGATTCAATTGTTTAATGATAATTGTCATTACTCAAAGAGTTTAAGTATTTTTAAATATTAAAAAAAAATTTTTTGAAAAAAAGTATGTATAAAAATAGTGTATATATATAAAAATTTTCCTTTTATTAAAGTTTATTAATTATTTTGATTGAGAAATAAAGTGAGAATAACTTCGGATCTATTGGTCCAAAAGTTGTTATTGACCAATAATTTTCTTAAATAGATAATTATCTATTAAACAGACAAGTGAATTATGTATGTTGCTAATTGAAAAAATAAAGTTAACACCCTTATAATGAATAAGGAATGAAAGTAAAATATAATTCACGATTGATAAGTTAAAAAAGTATGTGTATAAAATAAACCAACCAAAAAAAATTATATTTCAATTGTTATTAAATTAAGTAATTACATAAATTTGTATACGTATTTTTTTTTTTACTATTTAAAGTTAAATTAGTGTTTAATTCTACAATCTCTTACTCCTTGGACTGTTATTTCACTGTACTAATCGTATGTCACTCTTTTAGGTCTTCAGTTACAACAATGATTTTCGATGAAAAGTATTTATTAAGTGATATATTCTTACTGAATGTTGGTATTATTTATATCATTTGAGTAATATATAATTGTTTGTATTAGTTATAACTACAGTAGGTAACAATAGGTCTTACAATTATTGAAATCATGTAATTACTAGGCTAAAAATAAATTAACTATTATGTATGATTATTTTAATACTTATCGATGGTTATATATAATTAAATAAGTGTTTAAATTTTAAGCTATATTTTAATTAATATTAATTTCGTTGTGTATTTCGTATTATATTTTACATACATTAATTAATTCCAGCTAATATATTTTGTTAAATTTTATTACTCTTCAAACAAATCACGTTTTGTCATTTTTTTCGTAATAAAATTCATCATTAATCAGCGAGTTAAGTGAATATGAATATGTACATGATTTTGTTTATCATATATTTATTAATATGTGTACGGAAATTGAAACCGGTTACTATTTATCCAGGGCCATATTACCGTTTTGAGTGTTTTGGTTACAACTAAGGGAAAACAAAATAGTAGAGTAGAGATAAAGAGATTAGCACTTAAGCATCTCACTTACACCAATGTGAGTGACAAATTTATAATTAGCAAAAAATTAAATCGGACCTTGATTATATTCTGTTCTATATTTACATTTGTTACAATTCAATGTCACTTACTGTAGAATTATTTTTAATTAGCACAGATCAAAATTTACATGACCAATATCATAATGGTGATTAAATCAGACGACCATTTTGACGTAGGTAAATTAGTATGATCAAATCACAAATAAATCATGTTACTCTATATCGAAATAATTAAAAATTAAAAATATTAATTAAGTAAAATTAAAACTATATTAAAAATATTATTAATTTTACTTAATTAATTAGCCACAAGTGATCAATTTTTATTATATAATATTAATTATTTCACCTAATTTGTCGAAAAATAAAAGTAATAATAATTTTTTCCTTTTAGTTCACTGTTATTCTCAATGTATCTATCTTAAAAAAAATGTATAATCATCCCTTATACCTTATAAGTGTGTTAACTTTAATTTCTTAAATGACAACACACATAATTAATTAGCTCATTTTTAAATAATGAGTGAGTGGAGGAATGTCTTGTAACAAACATAGCAGTTTGATCGGTAGCTTACGATATTTTAAACTTTGAATAAAAACACTTTATTTTTATTCTATAATATGGACTGTATTTTTTATTTTATATCTTTTACATTTTATATACGAAAAACTATAGGTGCGCGTAAGTGAGCCGGACTCATCATTCGCTGTCCGGTTTTCGACTAACTTACAAACAAAAACCTACGCTGCACCGCCCCCCACCTATTCTATAACAAATATATCTAGCGTTTTTTCCCCAATATCAAACACAGTTAGATATTCAAAATAATGATATCAAATGAAAGAAAAATATCTAAGGTTTCAATATAAAAAAACCCAACACAGTGGAGTTATGGCACAGTATAGACATGGCATAGTTGGATCCAATAGATATTAAATCTGACAGTGATTAAAATTACTATCATAAGAAACGCTTCGATTAGATCTGTAGAAAGTGTTTAATTTTAAGAAATTGGTAGATTATTTCAAAAGCAATAATAACTCTTATTCCCTTAATTTTATCCTGATTAGTTATTTGATTTATTATTATAATAAATGAATACATAATAATTCTAGAAATTATATTTAGTATGAAATTGATAAAGGCTTGATGCTTAATGCTACGATGCAAATCTGTAGAAAGTGTTTAATTTTAAGAAATTGGTGGATTATTCCAAAAACTACATTACCTTATTTATTGATATTTATGATTTATAAGTGTAATATATGTATAAATATTTAGTATAGCAATTAAATTAATATTTAATAATTTAGTATTGTAGTTTTTTACAAATATCGTATTTTTCTATTAACATTAATATCCGTTTTCACCATGAAAACAAAATAAAATCCAACATTTTTTTTTATATTAAAGTATATTACAAAGGCTTTAATTTAAGATAAAAGTGTCAGTACTTACGAAACACTTTCAAAAATTAAGTTAAACAAGTTCTACTTTCTATATACATTTTTAAGTTTTGAACCCTCCCTGTGTAAAGGGAAATGGTCCAGTTTAAAAAAAAAAATGTCGAATTAAAGAAGTTTATAAATATTATTTTTCATAAAAAAATTGTATTTATCCATATATTTTTCAAAAAGTTATAGAAATATAAAGTAAAAAATTAAAAATATGAAATCGAGAATTTTAACACAAAAATGTCATAGGGTAGTCATTTTCACCATGAAGACAAAATAAAGTCCGAAATTTTTTTTTTTTCATATTAAAGTACATTACATTAGCTTTAGTTTAAGATATATATAACAGTGTCAGCATTTCCGGAACACTTTCAAAAGTTCATTTTTTGTGAAAAGTTTGTCATTTTGAATCCCAGGCAGATAAAGGGTCAGATTTATAAAAAAAAATTATATTAATTTGATAATTTTTAAAATAGTTATAGCAGTTTTAAGTAAAAAAATTTCGAAAATTAGTGATTTTTAAATTTGTAATTTTTTTTTTTGGAGATTTCCTCCAATTGCGGGGAATGAGGGAAATATTTTTAATTTTTGAGGGTAATGTCTTCGACTAGATACGATTTGTGATCTTTTGACGTATCGTTGAAAAAAATTGGTTCGGTGAGAACTGAGAAAAAGTGGTAACAGACACAAAAAAAACACATCATAGTAAAATTTATATCTTCTCAGTTCGAAGCTGAAAATTAGAAATGTTTCTAATGTTATATTACACGTCAAAATAACTAAGTGTAATTTTTTTTACAATTTCTAATGATAAATAAAATATACATATTATTTATTCATAAAAATATACGTATTTTAAGTAAAAATTGTATTAATTTCGATGTTTTGCTATAAATGTATTTAGAAAATGTATAATTACATCGTCTTCTTGCGATCTTTTTATACAAGGTGGGGATAATTTATCTTCTAATTGGTATCTTAGTTATTCTATATCATAGCATGACTACAAAAGTTGCGATCAAATTAAAGTGATGGCCAGTCATTTACTTAAATAGATTATTATATAGATAATTTAGAATCGCTAAAAATTATCATCAACATTTAATATTTTTAATTGGAACTGTAAAGTTTAAGTTTTTAAATTATCATCTGTAAGCATCCTTAAATTCGTCTCTATAAAAAACTATACTTTAGTCTATTTAGCTGATAATTAAAAACTTAAATTTATAGTCAGAATGACATTTTAATAAATTAATACTTATTTATTGTGTTATTTTATGTTAAAAATTGAGATTTAAAAAAATTAATTTTTGTCAAACATTTTTGATACACAATATTATGTTTTAGTTTCCTAAAAAAACCTTAAAAATGTTTTTTTTTTAATTTAAACCTATATTAATAAATAATTCGTATAAAAATTAGTTTTAAAGTAGTATGGCAATACTCAGTTTTTGTCACTGAAACATAGTTTTATGATTGATTAAATTCAAAATTTTTTTTAATCTATGGTAATTTAATCAAAAGTAGTTAATCTATTTAATAAATAGACTATGTAATAGGAAATTTTTGCGCTGTTTACTGTTTGTGATCCTAAATAAGACTAACTATTAGATTTAGTTCGTATTGAGAATTTTGAATGGTTTATAATTTTTTTTTATTAATAGATCAGCGCGAAACTAACATTATTTAACAGATAATTATTACCGGCGTCAAAAAATAGCGTTTCCAAATTTTTTGTTGTATGGTCTGACATTTTTTATTTTATCAATGATGTTAATGCTATAAATAGTTAAATTTTTTTTTTAATATGTGTTTATACTTAAAACTAATAATTCCTTAATATATTAGATCTCTATAATTATAAGGTAATAAAAAAATAGAAAGATTAAAAATAAAGTTAAAACGAAATTATTTTGCTTCGATAGCTGTGCAATAAAAAAAATACCAAATTAAATATTTACATCGTCCTTGTGTCCCACCGTTTCTCATATATCCACAAAACTTGTTGCATTATTTCACTATTTTAAAAAAATTGCGATTTAAATAAAAATTTTTAATTATTTTGTTTTTTTTTGATAATTATGAATATTTAAAATTCAATAAAATTATATATATATATTGATTTATCACAAACCACTCAAAAAATAAATACAATATAGGAAAAAAAATTGATTTATCAGCTATCAGTTACTTTTTAAAATAATTCCTTATAATTTAATTGGCCGGAAACTTTTTTTCGAATTGCAACATACATAATTAACTAGCTTATAACATAGAAAATGATCTAATTAAGAAAAAGACAGGTCGTTTACAACTTTAGGACCTGTACTTCAGAAGTTATAATAGTGGTGCTGATGATGAGACGCGGATGTTATTTTTATCACTAATCATTTCCCGGCCGCACTCTTCCACCCACTAAAAAATAAAAGTGAGAATAACTTCGGAAGTATTAGTCCAATAGTTGTTATTGACTAGTCATTTTCTTAATTATATAATTATCTATTAAACAGACAGGTTAATTATGTATGTTACTATTTGAAAAAATAAAGTTAACACCCTTATAATGAATAAGGAGAATGAACGCACAATGTAATTCATGATTGATAAGTTAAAAAAGTATATAAAATAAACAAACTAAAAAAATTTCAATTGTAATAAAATTAAGCATATAATGAAGAGTGGACACTAAGTATGTTATTTATATGGATTATTATTATTTATATTTTAGAACATTTTTATTTAACATATAAGATGATAAAACAAAAAATTAAAAAACGAATCTATAATATTGCTCAGGCCGACTAAATAAACTCTTAGCTGGTTAAATCTAGACAATGATAACTTTGTTTGATAATTGACGCAATATGTCCTTTAATAGTTAATTGAAAACAATTTTTTTTTTACTCATCAACTTGTTTTAGCTTCGATGCGAAGTTGAGAAGGTATTGGTTTTACTAAGATGTGTTTTTTTTTTTGTGTCTGTTACCACTTTTTCTCAGCTCTCACCGAACCGATT